AGGCCATGACAAACTGCCTGAAGAACGTATATGACTACAGGACAGACGAGTTAGTAATTTACCATGTGCGCATCAATTGAATTGCAGCTAAGTCTCTTGCAGTGGCGCCGACCCCACGAAACTCTTCCAGCGCAAAGTGAACAAGCGTGCCGTGCCCGACTACTACGACATCATCAAGGAACCCATGGCCCTGAGCACCATCAAGTCCAAGATCTCAAACAAGGAGTACAAAAACTTCTCAGAGTTCGTCCGCGACCTCGCCCTCATTCCGCACAACGCGCAGGTGTACAACAGGCAAGACTCGCAGGCCTATGTAGATGCGCTAGAGGTTAAAAAGGCCATTGAGCAGGAGCTCAAGAAGCTTGTCGACGACAAAACCATAACCGAATCTGTTGCGACCCTACCGTTCCTTGGCGAAATCCCCGAACAAGATCCGCTTCTACCTGAGGAGGAGGAGGAAGAAGAGGAAGAAGATGACGAGGAAGAGCTCGAAGTCGACGAAGAGGATGACGATGATGAGGAAGACGAGGGGAAGCGCAAGAGGCGACGTGGTCCGCGCTCTACTGCAGCCATCACCAAGCGCGAAGGCGGCTCGAGAGCAGCCAAAGAGGACATCAAGAATGACGACCCAGAATCGCGGAAAAAGCGCGGACGCCCGCCGCGGGTCGACACCCCGATGGAGGCCAGAATCAAGACCATCATGAAGGCTATAAGGAAGCCGCGGAATCAGCAAAACAAACTCATGGTCAGTGCCTTTGAGCGTGTTCCGGACAAAACGGTCATGCCCGAATACCATTCTGAAATCAAGAACCCCATGGCTATGGACATTCTCAAGCGCAAGCTCAAGCGGAAGAAGTATAACTCGGTGGACCACTTCATGGTCGACGTGGAACTCATGTTTGAGAATGCGAAGCAGTATAACGAGGAAGACAGCCAGATCTACAAGGATGCTGTGCATCTTCAGAAAGAGTCGAGGAAGGTCGCAAAGGCCGAAAAAGAGAAGCCAGATACAGAGTACGTGATGGAAGAGGGACGTATACCCATGCCCAGTGGCATCGTCCACAACGGCGAGCTGTGGAAAGTAGGCGACTGGGTGCACATTCAAAATGCGAATGACCTTACAAAGCCGATAGTTGCCCAGATCTATCGTACATGGCAAGATGCCAACGGAGGGCAGTGGGTGAACGCCTGCTGGTACTATCGACCAGAACAGACCGTGCACCGCTTTGACCGACACTTTTTTGAAAACGAAGTTGTCAAGACCGGCCAATACCGAGACCATCGCATTGACGAGGTTGTGGATCGATGCTTCGTCATGTTCATTACCAGGTATAACAAAGGCCGTCCGCGCGACTTCCCGTCTGACAAGGAGATCTATGTCTGTGAAGCCCGGTACAACGAAGAGAACCACAAGTTGAACAAGATCAAGACATGGGCTAGCTGTCTACCCGATGAGGTTCGAGACAAGGACTACGTCATGGACCTGTTCGATGCACCGCGAAAGCTCAAGAAGGTGCCAAGTCCAATTGCATATCTGCTCAAGGATGAACAGAAAGAAGACGACGATCTACCAAAGCCGGAGTGGGGTGCAGAAAATGCACCTCCGAAGATTGGTGCTGTTCATCGTCGTCCGCGAGACCCCAAGGTAAGAAAAGACGTAATATTACCACATAGGCCAGTGCTAACATTTTCTGTAGGACTCACCTCCACCCGAACCCACTCCACCACCTCCTCCAACTCCTCCACCAGCACCAGTCATGCCAACACCAAGCTTACCGACAGCTTCATCGCATGGATATGAATCATCCCGGAATTATCCTATTGCTCAAGCACCAGCTCTCACCCCAATGCCCGCACCGACGCCACAGCAGCACCACGCTGCACCAGCATACACTCCAACTCACGCGCAGCACTACCACTCCCACTCCCAGTCGCCTGCGCCACACCTACATCAACAAGCGCCTCCACCACCAGTCTACCAACCCATTACGCCACACGTTCCTTTTACACCTCAGCCATCCGCACCCATGCAGTCTTTTCAAACGCCACGGGCTGCGCCGAGCTATCAACAACCTTATCCCCAGCATCTCCCGCCCAACTACAAGGCGCCACAGCCTGTTGAAGTCTACGTCATGGCCGACCATGCAAACGCCAGTATCCCACTTGAGATCCGCGAGCAATTCCAACGCGACGAAAAGGGCCGCGTACTCTTCTTCACCGCGCCACCGCTCAACGTGGAACAGCCACTGACTACAAACGGCCGCGCACTCGGACACTCTGCGCGCTACCTCGCCGCCAAGGCAAAGAAAGAGGCCGTGAAAGCCAGCAAGCGCAAAGCAGATGCAGCCAACGCCGGCGAGCGTGAGGCCGCAGCCAAGAAAGCCAAAGCCGACGAGGAGGACAAGTTCAACAAGTCCGTTCAATATCTCGGTACCAAAGCGCTCAAGGCGCTGGAGGATCAGCTCGCCATGGCTACAAAGGCCGATCTTACCAATCTGTTCCATGGTCAGGATGAGCAAGGTGTTAAGAGCGTTATAGATCAGCTCGCCGAGGTGCAGAAGGCGGTTGTGGTCAAGGATTTGCAGCGCGAGATCCACGTCAAGGAGCGCGAGGAAAGCAAGAGGATACCTATTACTGGCATGACGGCGAGGTTGGAGGAGAAGTACTAGGGGTAGGGTTTATGCGTGCGTATGTTCCTGATATCCAGTGTAAGAGTATGGCGTTTTTATAGGGGTTCAGGGGAATCTGCACCTACGAGGGTCGTTGTTACTTGGTACCTCATCTCTAAAGGTATCATTCGCAATTTGGAAGCTAGACAATGATATTATCGTTTCTTTCATCTTGGAGATTCACGCGGAACATTTTGTTTGTTGTAACAGGGATGTTGTATTAATGATGTATAGAGGTCCAGAAGCAAAGTTGTGCCAAAATGTGTAGGTGGATATGTGTTTGAAGTTTTTTTTTCCTCTATTTATACCTAGGGGAAAAGCGCCAAAACGCGATCAATCATGTTCGATCCACAAACTTGTTCAGATACATATTCGCTAATATGCTTTTCCAGGTTCAATGACTCGAAATTCTTCTACAATGGGATGCTTAGCACCAAAGTATCAGTTGCACAATATCGAGACTAAATGTGAATCTTCTTGTAAAGCGCTTATGGGTAAAGCTGGATAGATAGCACGCGTATAGCCCATCAGGCCGGGGGTATCAGGAAGAAACTTCATCGATTATCATATAGTAGATCAAATATTATATGCATTGGTGATGGTAAGGATATATTCGAGTGTTTGTCTGTCTGTTTGTGTTAACAAGTGCTTGGATTAAAGGAAACAACAACGTTCATAGGGTTTACTTACCCCACTATCACATTCCAATACAACACGTATCGTTCTTTCCCTTCTCATCTTGCGATCCAAGAAAAGCCGCGACATAGAACGCCGCATAAAGTCTCTTTGCTTCGAGATCTGGACGACACATCGCTTCTGCTTCTGCTTCACCGTTGTTACTCTGCTTTGACAGCAAGGTCTCAAACTGACCCTTACTAGTGGAATCCATGCAACGATATGTTTCATACTACAATAGAGGAGAGATACATATTTTTTTGTAACAATTTAGAATTGTTGCATCACTTTAAGTGCCTTTCAAGATGATCTTTGCGCTGAGAAAAATATGACCCACTATCTTGCGCCACGCATTCGGGCACTCAAATCATATTCTTTCTGTGTATCCGTTCATGACGCTCGAGGTTGGCTCGGAGACCGAATGTATTTCCGCAGCCTTGATGGACACACTTGAGCCGGTGGTTGTGCCTCTGATTAACGTGCTTGCTACCATCGCTTAGTGAAAGCAGACATGGGAAAGGGGATTCTCGCATACTTGAGTTCAAACTTCTTCTTGGCTACATAATTGCATTGCGAGCATGCATAAGACAGGTTGACGGACATCGTTGCTGGACCGGTGTGTCTGGATGCATTAGGAGACTGCTCATCGTTCTCAGTGGTGTCTTTGCAGTCGAAATCGACAGCCATATCCGGTGTAGACCTTCCAGTTGATCCAGTAGTATCTACGGAATCACCTTTCGACTTTCAACTTCGGAGGGGCCAGGATTGAATAATGGGAGATGTTCGTCTCGTAGATGATGAAAGATGACAGGATTAGGCTGGCATTCAAATACCGACGGAGGAAAACAGGCTTCTTCCTCATCGTTTTGATCGTGATCATCCTCTTTATTCTCACTCTCTTCATACTGTGTTCCAGCAAAAACCGCAAAGAAGCTGTCAACTTCAGCCGGTGTTTTGCAGGCTCTTCTTGCAGCCTTCATTTCTTCTGGTAAGCATTCTGCGGCAAGTCAGACCATGATCTCGCATTTCCTGGGCTTCAGACTTACCAAATAGTGGTCCTCCACCAATACGAAAGCCAAATACATAAAGCAGGAAATTCAGTGCCTCGTACGAAACACGAACAGCGTCCAAGAATTTCCTATACACACCTGGAACTCCGAGCCCCTCCAATTTGTCATAGAACCGTAGAATCATGGCAATAAATAGTGCCCCATGCCTCCCGAGGTCCTCATGTTTGATAACTACCTTTAATTCGTCTGTAGAAACATATAGTCCATTCGAGCAGTCGAAATAGCGAACAGACACCACCCATTGTACAAATCCAGTAAAAGAGCATCCGGAAGGTAATCAAAATGACTTCAACCCAGTACCATACCACAAAACCCGTAGTTGATAGAATAACAATAGCACAGAAGTGTTCAAGAATCGAATCTTCGAGGTTGGTAGTACATGTCTCCAAGTACCTGTTCGATGAACGGTTTATGTCTTCCATCTCTAAAATAGAGGCTCTATGTAAGATAATGCTAGATTCGAAAAGTCCCCGTTTGTTAGCCATAGTGACGAAATATAGACCCACGATACAGGCCCAGCGCAAAGGCCATGATATAACAACAGTAGATGGAACGGCCCAGCTCAAAGGCCATGGCATAACGATACTGGATGGAAAGTATTCGACACAGAGCCAAAATGGCAGTACAAGGAATAAAGAAGAGTTAGATTGCTAAAGGCCGCCAACATGAGGTTCGGGAAATTTTTGATACGTGTTTCGACATCATGATCGATTGGAGGACGATTGGAGTCGTGCTTGGCGGTTGGCATGTTGGAAGCTTTTTTGAAGAAGTATAAAGCGTGGACAAGTAAAGCACACGGAAGCATTTAACTATACTGTGTTTTCCAATCCAAGTCCAATCCAAAAATCTAGCAAGAGTAAGAGGAATACCATTTTTCGGACGTTTGGTTGGCTTCCGCTGCCTCGGTAGCGTGCTTACATGTCTGTCTGTGCATGGTGATCACTTTCGATCCGCACTTTACCTGACTTAGTTTGGTTTCTGCGTTAGCGCGTCCCTGCTACGCGCACCCCCGTGAGGCTGGTGACAGCACAGTCATCGACCCGCAGTCATGAAGTTCTGCGTGCCTGCTGTCAGCCTATTTGATATGCTTCATAAGTGCGCATAGCAGAGGTATCTCTTGCTACTACATATATTTTACTCCCCCGCAAAACGTGCCGGAGGATAAGGCGCCTTCTCAAGTGTCTCCCGGCTGGTGGCGACTTCAAGATGACCACACTCGACCATGACCCCAGGCCTCCGTACTCAGTATTGTTAACCCTTTATCCACCTCAGTCTAATTGTGTCTATCGATGATCTCGCGCGCAGTTAAGTTTGCTAGGAAACCTCATGTGGTACGTTTTCCATTCTATATGTACCCCTCAAGAACCGCTTATTGATCGGGATTTTCACTGCAGATTGTATCAGTACACTCTCAATACACAGCATTACGTGGCTGTATTGGCCTCTAAAGGAGCGTTTCTAATCATTCGTGTGTAGTATTCATCTGCATTAGACAGCTTAACAGCAATATTCAACAGAAAGAGGAAGAGGAAGTGAGACTTACTGTAGGACATAATCAAGTGATAGGTTTTGCATTTGGAGATATTGCGACTGGCAACAAGTATATGTAATTTGATTTCCTGTTTGTTGTCCCTCTCGGCTTGGTAACGCAGTGGCTTCCAAGACACACGATCATTCAACCACCCGCTTCGCTGCTCTTCTACTGTTCCTTGCCAGAGCGTGGGACAGATATAGCAGCCTTTCAAAATAGCGTTTTGGAAGCTTTCTAAGGTCTAGAGATTTCTGTAAGAGGTTCACTCAGCATTCCATCATATACACGACATAGTGTACTGAAGGGCCTCATAGTGAAGGAACGTGGATTTCGAGGTAACTCTGAGTATAGAGTGTAAGGGGAAAGAAAACACGAGAGATCAAGCTTGCATGGCGCCCCGCAGTAAGGTTAGCTAACCTACTACTAGCCGACCCCCGGTCAACTTAGTGTAGCGCAGCAGAGCACAACTCACCACCTTCCAACGGTGGTAAAAACGACCAATTTCGACCCCAGTCTAGGTACTTACTTCTTGCATCTTTTAGTATCAAGCTACATGTAACTGTCAGGAATGCATTGATGTGCATCAAGTCAGTATCTTATGAGAACGATAATTTCCGACACAACACATAAAAGCAAAATCCAACCAAGAACATATGATTATCCTATAATCATCACTATCTAAGTACATTTAAAACCTTAGGATCCCCTACGTCAAGCATATATCTCCATATATCCAACGATGAACTATTCGATCTACACCATACACATCCTCACTCTTGCACTCATCTCCTTCCTGATGCCACCGAACAACCCTAACACCGAACTAGATCTACTCATCGTAATCACTCTCCTCAGACGTTGAAGGAGTAGGGCTTGCCTTTTTCCCCTTCTTACCACCCGCAGCAACCTTCTTCTTCGTGTTTGCCTTCACCTTCTCCACCCTACCCGTCTGCGTCTTTTTGGTCTTGTCCTTTTCAGGTTTCTTGGTATTGGTCTTGGTGTTGGGCTTCTTGACCTTGGTAGCAGGCGTTTGGTTGTTGCCAGACTTCTTGCCACCAGCTTTATTAGTAGTGACCCTGGGCACAGGCGGTAGACCCTCGTTGGCGCGTTGGAGATCAGTCAAGTTGTAGCTTACTGGTCGCTGCACTCTTCTCATGCTGGGGCAACAGGCGCTGGGGTCACGGGGTTTGGTGGTGTGGTGGGTCTGGAGGGAATATCCCACACCCCCGGTGGCTCTGTTGACTCTGGTGAGATTTCCGGTGTCGTGACGTCCCCCCCTCCTTCGACTGTCTCGGGTATCCGGGCCCGCTTCACCTTTTCCCCCGCTTTCTTGATACCTTTACCGCCCATGGTTTCGATCAGTTTTGCGATTCGCGGTATAAGAACAGTGCAGTATTGATGGTCTGATATCTTTGACAAGGCAACTGTCTTCTTCTTAGAACAAGCAGAATATAAGCAGAATGGCAAAAGATACTTTGTGAAAAGTTACCATTGATGCGGCGCAGCAGGCGGACTAAATACCCTGGTGTTGTGCTCGAGGCACCGGATGCGGACGTTCATGTTGCGAACAAAGGCACACCAAAGAAATCACCAACCATCAACGTTACATGGCCATGAACCACATGACTTGAGAGCTGGTGCTTTGTCTGAGGCGATTCAGACCTCGAAGGCGTTGGTTTTCAGTGAAAGTGTTCAGATTTTGGTCTTCCAGCTGTTGTTCCTTTGTCCGCGAGTTTACGGGGTCTTGAGGATGTCCAAGGCGATGTCGCTCGCTCGCACGGATGCAAAGACACTCATGGCTGGGATAAGGAACAAAATGCAATATATAGAGAATACTACCAAGTGAAGATGTACTACATAATATTCCTGTTCCTTTTTCGCTCACGAAAGTCAAGGGGTCGTGTTCGTAGTCATACAATGCTGCTCAATACCACCATAATCGTGTTCAACCGCTGAAAGCGCCAACAGTACTGCAACTCGTGCGCTCTTCATAGCAATATACTGAAAAGCCATACAATGCCAAATAAAACTAGCCGGGAAATGCAAATCGCGCAAGGTTAAACATGGGTTTCCGAGGCGAACATTCGCTCTCTGCATCGCTGTCAGGTACCAGGAAATCCTCGCTTCCCTTTAGCGATGATCTTCTCCTCTTCGCAGGCGTCATATGAGGCGGAGAGCTTGCAGCCACAACAACCTCTGCTTCCATATTGGCCCAAGCAGAGTCTGCAATCTCTTCCTCGTCATCCACAGGAGGCGGGGTTCCACGAACAACTGAATCTGCTACAGTTGCAAGTGATGCCAAAGTCGGCTCTATAGGTGGCGGCACAGGCTGCCTTATTTCAGTATACCGTCTTTCCAGGCGGGCTTTGGCGGCCCGGGGCATGCATGGGGTCGGCGAAGGTACTACTGCCGCCTTGTAGATGAACTTCGATCGCAGTTCACTCATCTGAGACGAGATGGCAGCGCTAAAAACCGTCTCTGGTTCCGGGCTGCCATGCGACGATGCCGGTGTAAGGGTGCCAAGAGTATCTTGTGACTGGGCAGTGCTGCCTCTCGAAGTTACAGTTGACTGTGATTCGCATCTCATGACTGCTTGTGTGTCGCTGAAGATTCGTAACTTCTTCTTTGATTTCGACGCAAATTCTTCCAAGTCAGCGACTGCTGCGATGGCCTCTTGCATAGAATCATCTGAGTAAAGCTCAAAGTCTTGGTCCGTCTTCCTTCTGTTCATCTTTGTACGGTTCAGCGAAGGGCTTGGCTCTGGCGTATTGGAAGTGAAGAATTGACTTCGCACAACCCCCTCTCCGCCTGCTGCAGGGGCATCGGAAACTGAGTCGGTGCAAAGTCGTTGTCTTTTAGAAGGGTGGGGTACAGAACGTCTACCTGCAGTAGGATCCGACGATGTTCGTCTCGGTTGCGGCGCCGTACTGGGAGGTGGTGGGTATTGCTGCTGCAATCGTGATATGGGAGCAGGCACTGCAGCCCAACCACTGGTCCTACGCTGCTGCTCGAGCAATACTTGCTGGCTTGGTGATGGCGTGAAGCAGTTTGGGCTTAACTCGGCCAAAGGGGTGCGCTTGGGTTTGAAGAACGAGTCGATCGGCTTCGAGCCCTTTGCGTCGGGCGTTTGCACGACTGCTGACGCTCTTCGGGACGGGACGAGAGGCTGGCCGCTGGGCTTAGTATTGCTGTCGACATTCATTGGCAGCTTTGTGCGTGGATATAGATCGCCTCGCGCAACACCAGTAGCGAGGTCTGATGGTACCTCTTCCCCCAAGTACGGCATGTCGGCGAGACTGATGCCGTCATTCACTGGTGTGAGGTTGACGAGCTTTTTGTCGATTGGGCAGTATACCCATTGGTACAAGAACGTCTTCTCCGCCTGATCAAAGTCGGCCATGAACCCGGCAGGTACTTTGAGCTTTCCGTCGAATTGAACGGCTTTGACAAGGCGGTCGACAGTCTTGTGCTTGCGCAGCATTCGATGAGCAGTTTTCAGCCCCAGACCACCAATGCCCGGTAAATAGTCGCAGCCACTGAGAATGCACATCCTTCGAAAGTCGGCATCGGACCAGCCTACAAAGCTAACCTCTCGGCAGGCAGTGAAGTGGTTCCGATTGACCTCGATGCAGTCTCCGTACTTGTCGAGCTTTGTTATCAGACACTTGACGCCAAAGACAAGCAAGTCGGAGTCTTCTGATAGCACGCCATTGATGATGCCCTTGCGTTCCAAGTATGCTAGCTGCGAGTCGGCTTCGTAAGGTGCGACGACATACTGAATATTGTGGTGCTTCAGCTCTTCGATGACCATGCGCGCCATCTCGGGCGTTACATCCACGCTCTTCTGCAATTCCTGTTGCGCCTGTGCTGCCTTTCCAACCTTGAGAAGCTCCAGACCCAGTCTCTTGCCCTCCTTCCTCCTCTCCCTCCTATCCTTCTCTGTGCCAGCTTTACTCGGTAGGTTGTCTCCATCAAACACGAGGTAGGGCGTTATTCCGAAGTGGATGAGCATATGGACGCGATTCATGACAAAGTCGACATATCTAACCCGCTGTCAGCGTTGGTTGACTGTACATAGCACGCACGTCATACTTGGTCGTCGGCTTGTCAAGTGCCAGATCAATAGCACAGGCAGCAGTGCCACGATGTAGCCAGCCATATGTATCTACGCCAATCGTCTGGCCAGCGTACTTCTTGAGATTACATGGCTTCTGGACGGATTTGAGCAGTGGAAGAAGCCCTGTCCCACTATTAGCAGTGTACAAACACGCGATTGGACGTACCGACCTGAGATACCCATCGTGACCCTTTGCCGCCCACGCGTCAAACCTAAACACTGGCTGGAACTTCGGAACTATCGCGACATGCTACTTTGCGAGACACTGGTGAAAGAAGACAGGTTTTTCTACACAGGCGCACTAAAGGGAAAGGGAAAGAAAGCGCCGTAACCATCTAAATGCGATGAGGCACTGGTCGCGAGTACGCGGAGATTGAACAGGAACGCGCCCCACTAACTGGATGCGCTAGGCCAAGTCTGATCGTTAGCGTCATCGCGACGCCGACCGCCGACGGGATTTCCAAAATTTCTTGCATCACCACCAGCACAGGAGTAAAACAGCAAGCCGTCAAAATGGTCAGCAATCGCCTCGACAAGGTCACCAAGAAGATTACAAAGAAGAAGGGAAAGAACCCCAACTTGCATGAAGGCAGTCGGGACACACAGCGCCTACAGAGCGCAGCGCAGAGAGACGACAAGCTCAACCGCCTATCCAAAGTCCGAGAACACCAAAATCGCCCTTATTGTATGCAACGAGCTTTTTTTTTGGCATTTCATTACACAGCAGAACTAACTCAAATCAGTGCTAAGAACAAAATCCTTTCAGTCATATACCACAGAGCATGATTCACCAGTCAGCGTCCCAGAGATCCAGGCCATGATTGAGGACTACCTGGGCCGAGATGACGAAGAAGTCGCAAAACTGAAAGCAGAGCGTCGTCCAGGACGCCCACCGTCCACCCGTCAAACTCTTCTTGAAGCCAACCAAAAAACTGAGCAAGACGAGTATGCCTCCGGATTCTGGGTGCCTGACCTCGAGGATGTGATCAACTTGCGCAAGCTGAAAGAGTGGAACGGTCAATGGGCGCAGCTCGCCACGCTCAAATTTGCTAGAATTTCAAAAGAAGGATTCAAGAAAGAATCGAGCTTTCCACCAAAGGGCATGTCATGAGCGACAGGTCCTGGTACTTGGCTAGCTCTAATGAAAAATCCAACGTTTGGCGCGCGGGAGGTCACTTGTTTGTTAGTGCTTTTCTGGATCACTTAATGGCCTCATCTCTGCGGATACCCATCATATACTGTTTTCTTCTTCGGACGCGCATGCTTGGTGTAGTACCTCCTGGTGCACTGTTCACCTGCAGGCAGAAAAGGAATCACTTGCTCGTTTCCGATCACGTGCGCTGCATCTTCCATCATCTGATTATTGACAATTCGCCTACTACAACCCCAAAGCGGACGATCCAAAATATAAATACAGCCTCCCCCGCCTGTCTAAGATGCGCCACAGCCATGGACTCTCCCGACTCATCTTGTACGAACCAGTCCGAAACCATGAGCGAGTTAGAACGTGCCTATGAACGCAACTGGACCCCTGAGCTGAACCCTGAGGAGAAGGCACAGCGCATACATGACAACCCCCCTACAACAGCTTACCCTCCCATCGTCATTACCGGCGAAGCAAGACATAACCATGTGGGCATGTGGAAAGATCTCATCTCACAGACCAAGTTTGTCTACGGTTACCATCAGGAGTACGATGTCATTACCGAGCGCACAGCGCACAGAGACGATGATTAGTGGATCTCCAAGGCCACTCTCGTCGTTTGGACACCTTCTAAGGTCACGATCCTACGGCAGAATGAGCACGTGTATTATAGTCTGGATGGTGCACTGGGCCGCTTGTATACTGATCTTACGCATCAAGTTGGGATGATAATGGCTCGCAAGAAAGTGAGTAGTGTCATCATAAAGCATGAGATCGTCATAAATGCGATTGATATGGATAAAGACGATAGGGCAAACTGGGGCGGCGATCAGTTTGATGCGAGATATATGACCTTCTTTTACAATTAAAACTCCAATTTCTCAACCAGAATTGTGCCATTACTATCTCAACACTTGAACATTGTTGAAGCTAGTGAAATGTACACTTATCAAACTTGCTCGGATGATTCATGTATGACATCTACCCCGTCATGCAACAACAGTAACAGCCACAGAACCCCTCTTACTCAAACTTCTCAAAAGCAACATGCCACATCTTCATCGTCTTCGGTCCATCTCTCAACATAGGTATCACTTCTCCAAAATGCTGCGTGCCCCTGAACTCCATATGCGCCTCGACACTTGGCCACCCAATAAAGACATTGAAAACGTTTCCTTCGACCCCCTCGCCCAAGTTCTCATGTGGCAGCTTCTCTACACTCCAGCCCCCAGCTAGGCCTATGGCTTTTACACCCGGTATCGCGGCGGCTTTTTCGCCGAATTGCGAGAACTGGGTGGTGTAGTGCGATTGGTCGTAGGTGGGCTCGAAGAAGCTGTTTATGCATTCGGTTACGGGTGCGGAGAGTGGTTCGGAAGATGGTGTAGGCGAGGAGGAGAAACTGATGTGAATGAGAGTGGGGGAGCCGCCTAGGATTTTGTCTCCAAGGGTTTCGAGGAAGGGAGTGTAGGCTGGGCTGGACATGAAGGCTTGGTGGGAGGAGAGGGAGTCCCAGTCTATAGTTCTACAAATTAGAATTGCATGTTTAGGGGGAAGGAGAGTGGGTGGGTGAGTGTTACCAATGACTAGCTGTAGGGTATCTGGGTTCTCGATTTGTTTGCCCCAGTATCCGGTTTTGAAACCGGGTTGCGAGGCTATGGTGCGCAGAGTTGATTGCCACACTTCCTTTGCTTCACCAGAGGAGAGATCAAGAGAGGGTTTGAGAGGCAGGTAGGCGACTTCGGTGATGGGTTCGGACATTTTGGAGTCTGGCCGTAGTCGTGTTGTACGTGGATGAAGTGTGATAGTGACAAAGCAAGAACTGAGTGTAGGAAAAGACCGATAATATCAAATCCGGGAAGATGCACACCAATTTTAATTACCCAGAATAGGACAAGACCAACGCTGAGTTGTTCGATTGCGGCAATACCTAGAAAGCTACCCCACTGTAAGCTTCATGCAACTAGAAGGTGGGGCACTGTACGGAATAGCTCCAAACTTGATCTCCAAGATGCCCCGAGGTCTAGCAGCACTACCCCTTATACTTCCAACTCTCTTATCACATCCATTAATCCCAGAAGTGGTACTCTTCTCTTCGCCCGTTCCCGCCATGGCGGCTATGATCAACTGATGGGGTACCGCCAGCTTGCAGCACACGCCTACAAGAATCACAAGATGCGATGCCGCAGCCTGGACATCGTTGCGAAAACTTGTATAGGATTGCTGTGCAGTATCCACAGTCATGGCGGCCTTCAATCTTGTCCCACCAAGCCTTGTGTTTACAGGTTTCAGATGTCTTTCCCCGCTTTTCCTCCGCATGCTGTTCAGCTTGCCGCTTCTTGGTTTGCTCCTGCTGATTGCGTGCGGCAGCCTCATTGGCCGCCCTCAACCGCGCCAAATACTCTTCCAAATCTCTATCTCGCTCTCGACGTGCACGGTCTGCTTCTTTTCTAGCAGCCGCTTCTCTCTGTTCTCGCTCTGCTCGTTGCTGAGCTTGTTGTCTTGCCTGCTCCCTCCATCTCGCTTCCTGTGCCTCCGCCTTGCGGGCTCGTTCCCTTCTCTGTGCTTCAAATTTTTCACTAGAGAGCCGTACACTCTCTTGAGCTTCTCGACGTGCTAGCTCATCTCTAAGTTCCTGCAACTGCATATTCGCCTTATCAAGAGATATTCGCTGGATCCTCATAACATTTTCAAGATCAACACACTCCTTCCTAAGCTCACCCTTTTCTTCTTCACTCAGTCTCTTCTTGAAATATGAGAATATACTCCAGGCGTTCGGCTCATTGGCTGCAAGCTTCGCCCTATTTTCCTTAATCTTAGCATCAAGGAAAGAGAGTAAGGCCTCGAGCGGATTAACGACTTTGACAGATTCGCGTATCTGCTGCTCTTGGTATTTCTCGAAGTTGAGCCATTCTTGTCGCTTTGCATTGCTTGCAGCTTCTGCCCGTGCCTCATCTTGCGCCGTAGTATCTGGCTGCCGAGGAGTGGACCGATCATCTTGCTCCGATGATGTCGTAGGGGAAGGTTTTGCTGGTTTGGGACCGCTACTTGTTGAGGCAGTAGGTTTTTGTGGTTTGGGGCCGCTACTTGCTGAGGCAGTAGGGTTTGGTGGCTTGGGACCGCTACCTGTTGAGGCATTAGGGTTTGGTGAACTGGGACCGCTACTTTTTGAGGCAGTAGGTTTTGGGCGAGTCCTGTCATACTCCTGTCTTTTGACTACATCGCTAAGGACTTCCCAGGCCGCGTTGATCTGCGTGGCATGTCAGCATGATACACTGGCAAGTACTTGATCATCTCAGTTCTGCCACTCACAAGCTGTGTATTTGCAGTAGCCTCTATACATCCAATGTTCTTGTCGGGATGGTGGAGTCGAGCGAGTCGTCGATATGAAGCTTTGATTTCCTCGTGAGGCGCGCCAGGCCTCACCTGCAAGACAACGTAGTGGTCGTGCTTAGAAACTGCGGGAGCCATTCTTTTGCTTCTTGACTGATTCAAGCTCCAACTTGGAGTCGCGAGACCACGATTGAAAGAGATAGACAGCAAGAGAAAAATACGCTGACTGTTTGCGTTTGCAGGCTAGGTGGGGCGGGGTACGATAACTCTCGCCAATCAAAATGAGAGTGAACGTGAGCCCGCAGTGCGAGTGACAGAACTTCAATGAGAAGTGAAAGAACAGTGGTCGGTAAAGTGATTGCAGCCTAGACAAGGCTGTACCTGAAGTGTCCCAAGCGCTGTGGCGCAGCGATTCAGGTGCCCTCATTGCAGACCGCCAGAGGATACGAAACGGAACTTGGACTCGAAGAGCCAATCTAACGAGGACAGAAAGAAAACGTGAAGAGCGGATAAGTGGCGAGTGAAAGAAGTTCAGGAAATAGAAGAACGATATGCATCACCGGACAAGCAGGCAACCTCACTGGATAGAGAAAAGAGCTATCCAAGTGTCAGCCCGGCACCTCGGTCCACCTGGTACACTGTGAACTGTATCTCACGTGACTCCTCGTCACCTGCTTACTCATCTTGGTTGTGTATATAATCGCTTCATGTAGCTCTCTCAATACAACAACCTTCTGCCTCTTTTCTGCTCTGTTCTCCCACATCTAACACCAAGTACCATGCAATGCTCACTCTCCCAAGGCACTACTGCCAACAATGTGTTGCTTGTATGTCAATCCCAATTTATTACTAGCTTGCAATACCCGATTGTTCAATCGTCGCAAGTAATAACACTACGCGTGATCACTGCACCAACCCTTTCAGTCTTCCCATCCACTATGAACAACCCATATCATTCCAACACGATGCCTATTCCCTACATCATCACCGCCCACAAGTCTCCAATAACCATCCCACCCACCGCACTTCTCTAATCTACTCAACCCCACCCCCAACTTCAGGCGTCCCATCAGTAACCAAAATCCTCCTACAATTATCACAAGCCACAACCCGACACCCCGGACACTTGAGCAGAAACCTCGTACATGCCCTTTTACAATACCCACAAGCCTTCTGCGTCTCCACTTTCGCCCACCACCCCTTGTGCCTACACTTACAAAACGCCGCAAAAGCAGCTGCTTGTGTGGGTTTTGGCCGCGCTCTGGTTTTCCGCTCAGGCTGCTGATCTGCGTCTTGCTGCTCACCTTCGCCACTGCCATCGCTTTCTTGTTTCCTCTTCCGGCACCGTTCTCGTTCTTGTTGTTGCCATTTCTAGAACCGCTTAGATTGCTGTCTTCGTGCTTGTTCTTGCATTTCGTGCTCGGCTGTTGCGCGGGCGGCGCGGGTTTGTGACGCCCATGCGTGCTTTGCGAGGTGTTGTTCGAGTGTGAGGCGGGCTTCTTCGCAGGCTAGGCGGTATTGAAGTTCGTTGTTGAGCCGCCTTAGACGTGCGGTTTCCTTTTCGAGGTAGGTTTGCTTGATTTGGATGGCGGTTGAGGCGTTGATGGTGTCCATATTTAGGTTGGGAGATTCCTGTGGGCTCGATACTGCCTTGGTAGGGTCGAGTTAATGAACGTTCTACGTGTATAGTAGGTAGCTTACAAGCTTCGCTTTGTTGTCATCTATCTTGATGGTGAGGGATGCAATTTCGGTTTCGAGGAGCTTGATTGTGTTTCGGCATTCGCGTGTCTTCTGCTCATGTTGTTTTTCGTAATCGAGCCATTCTTGTCGCTTGGCTTTACTCAAGGCCTCGGCACGTGCTTGTTCTTCAGCTGCAGTATTTCGGGGTGGTGGAGGAGGCTGACAGCTTGGTGATGGTGGAGTTTCAGGTGTCGCCGTATGCGTATTTTTCGCCATGTTATACTTCTCAGTAGCACTCCTCGGCCTACTCCTATCATACTCTATTCTCTTTGTGGTGTCACCGAGAACCTCCCAGGCTAGATTTATCTGCAAGTCACGTCAACATTGCTGCACCTACACATCGTACCATTCAAGGAGCAGTGGTGTCCATTTCCACTTCGAGCCAACTCACAATCTGCGTCCTTCGAGTCGCATCCTCACTTCCCCTCCCAACATTCTTATCAGGATGGTGCAACCTAGCGAGCCGGCGGTACGAAGTTCGTATCTCATCGTAAAGTGCATCCGGTTTTATTTCCAGGATTCCATAATAATCGTGCATGGGGGCTATTGGAGCCATTCTTCTGTCGTATGCAGCGACTAGAGGAACTGAACAGTGTTTCCAAAGATTAAACGTTCATCCAACTGTGTTCGCTGTGTGAGAAGACCTCGTATGGTTGTGTGCGGTTGAATAACGAGGGCTAGGGGTAACAAATGAGCAGGTGTGGTGTATCAGATGGACAGGGCTGCAAACGAACGCTGTTGATACAGCAACCACAATCACACAATGTTAAGGGCGAGTTGGGATGGGATGATAATTGAACCCACGTGAATCAAAAGGAAATTGACGTCAAACTGATACACAAAGTTTGGAAAGGCTTATAAAGTGCTTGTATCATGAAAATGCGACCTCTCCATGCATTACGATTTTGTCAGTGCCTATACATCACTCCGCGTCCCTTGGTTATCCATGCATGCTAGAAAATCTTGATATCCAAAAATAACCGTCGCATACTCATTCATCCCAGTGAAGGAAGAGTCAAAAGAGAAAAAACACCCCGCTTAATCATACAAAAAAAGTCATTAGAAATCCGGTCTTTCATTCAAAACGACTCCCAACATCTCTCACTCAACTCAACCACTTAATGGACCTTGGTAACCTTGACGCCCCGCTTCAACAACGCAGCCTTCAAACCGTTCGCAACCTGTTTCCGACTCTTCGCCGTCTCCCTCAGAGTATCCATGTGCTCATCTACCAAATCACCCAGACGGCTGACTTCCATGCCTTTGCCGGATGACGGACTACCCTCTGGCGTGTAAAAGAGACCGTAGCCCTTGCCGGGTGTTGGCGTAGCCTCGACGTCTGGTGTTAGAGCGCGCCGGTTAACTTCGCTTAGCGTCATCCTGGTACGGTTGGTGGGCGGGGTGAGATACGGTGTGTTATCGGCGATGCTGTTGCGGAGACTGGTGCCGCGCGAGGGCCGCGGCGTACCGGCATTGCGGGAAGAGGATGCACGCGAGGATGGGCGACTGGAGTCTGCAAGGCCCATTCTGCGCAGCTCGGCCTCAAAGATGAGGATTTCGTTGTTCTTGCGCTCGGCCAAGTCGGCAAGTTTGAGAACTGTTTTCCTGACGTTTCCCATGGTCGGGACGTTCTTAGTGTTGCCGCTTTGAGCACTGTGTGTAGCCAGGCGTGAGCGGAGGACTGCCACGGCATCTTCAGCCTTGCGGAGCAGTGTCAGTAGCTGGGCATAGTCGTTGCGAAGAGCCTTCTGGCCATCGGCAAGTTCCTTTGGCAAGGGTGCTTTGCGAAGTGCTTCTGCCTTTGCCGGGTCCTTGCGATTGATGATTTCGCGACGGACATCATTGAGACGGGTCAAAAGCTTGGCCTTATCGCGAAGCAAACGGCTAATTTGTGTGAGCTTATCAAGCACTCCTTGTAGTCTGCCATCGTCAAGCTCTTGTTCCAGATCCTCCTCGAGAGACCTCAACGCCTTGATCTCGCACAGTGTAAAGTCATCGAACCACGGACCATGGTGCCCCTCATGCTGAGCACGCTCCAGTACGCTCCGGTCGATTTTGTGGCCGGGCCGAGGCTGTTGGTGGTATTGCGTGAAAGACTTGAGAGACCGTGCGTTCCAGCCAAGCGCATCGATCATTCCGTTAATGTCTTTGTAAATCATCTCAATTTGAGCAGCATGGCCAGTCTTGCTAGGCGATTTACCGCCGGTGTAATTCTGGTATGCTACAAACTCCTCGAGATCCCGACTAGGCTCGATTGGCTGCGCAAGTTGTGCCCGCATACGCTCGTCTTCTTCGTCTTCGAGCTGTGGCGTAGGTGGGCCAGAACCTTGGATGGAAGAGCTCAACGATGCACCAGGTGCGACTAGCGGTTCCCGATGAATTCGAGAAGCTGAACTTGAACGCATGGGGCTGATCGTGCGGGCACTAGGAGCGCGATTGGTTGGTGGTTGGAAACCTGGCCTGGCAGAAGTAGCTGACTGATCCGGTTTAGCAGAAAAGGCAGCTTTGTTTGACTGTTGCCCGAACAGTGACGAGCTAACAAACGGCTGCTGACCGGCTGGTTTGGAAGGTTGGCCAAACAAAGAAGATGATGCGCTTTGTCCAGACTGACCAGACTTCAAGACAGGAGGAGTTGATGCAGGAGGAAAGAAGCGCGGTGGTTGAGTGTGTGGTTTTGAAGCACGGTTCGGTGGATACGTCTCATCTGCCTCTTCGTCATCTTCGTCTTCCTCCTCCTCATCATCCTCTGAGAATTCATCTTCATCCTCGTCCTCTTCTCCGTTGTCAATCGGGGACGCCTCGACCGATGAGCTGGGAGCTTCAACCTCGACACCCGGGCTGCCAGCAAGAGGGGGCAGATCATCATCGGCCGACTGTGCCAGCTTTGTATCGATGGGATCAGGTGGAAGGGGTCCATCCTCGGTCTTTGAAGGTTTCACTTTGGTAAAGTCTGGTGGAAGAGGTGCGTCATCTGGCTCCTGAACCGGAGGTGCTGCCTTGGGGGTCGCACTTCCTTTAGCAGGTGTGTCACTTGGGAACAGTGTCTTTGACTTTGGCGGAGATGCTGGCGTGGTGGAAGCATACTCTGGGGGAAATTCACTAGCAGGAGTAGCCGGCGGCTTCATTCCTGTCTTACCAAGCATATTCGAAAAGTCGCTACCGAAGAACGAGCCGTTTGTGGGAGCGGCAGGCTTTGCAAGGTCGTCCTTGGCGGTACCATCACTGGCGAATGTGGTACCAAGCTTGAAGCCGCCTTCGAGACCAAACATGCCTTGCGATGCCGGAGCTTGGGGTGTCGGTGTAGCCTCGTCCCGCTTCCGAGCAGCATCTGCTTCACTCGTATCAGACGTCTTCGACTCGAAGGAAGCTGTGTTGAATGAAGACTTGTTCTGCTGTCCGAAGATTGAGCTACCCTGTAGTGATGATCCATTGGCAGAAGCTACGGTGACCGTGGAACCAAAGCTTGGCTCTTTTGACAGACCCGAGAAGCCAGATTTCTGCTGACCCTGTCCAAGAGCCGCAAAACCAGACGCTCCCTGGGTAGGATTTTGCTGGCCGCCAAGTGCCGCAAAGCCCGAAGTGCCCTGAGTAGAATTTTGTTGGCTCTGCCCGAGAGCAGCAAACCCAGACTCTGCCGTCACAGACGAATTGGTTCCAAAGTTCGAAAACGACGAGGCCCCTCCAGTCTGTCCAAATTTGGCAAACCCAGACGATGTTCCTGCAGCTGCCGAAAAAGGGTTGGCCTTGGCATCAGAGGTAGGCGCGGATGCGCCCCATGGAGACTGTTTGCTACCCATGCCACCCGCATTTCCAAATCCAAAGCCGCCTGCAGCACCAACTGCAGAAGGCGCGCCAAAGGCTGGCTTTGAAGCGGCGCCTACCGCAGAGGGTGCGCCAAAAGCTGGTGGTGCAGCAGTGCCCATGGACGACGGTGCGCCAAAGGCCGGTTGCGCTGGCTTACCGAACGTGGGAGTAGGTATGTTGCTGCTACTGGGAGTGCCGTATCCGGGGGTCCCGAAGCCTGGCGGTGTAGGTCTCATGAGGGCAGGTGTTGGGGATCCAGATGTGGCGTGGCTGTGATTGTGATTGTGATTATGGCTAAATTGGGGAATAGAAGAAGTTCCGGGCGTGTTGGAGCGACCAAGAGAAATGGAGCCTGCTGGAGTGTGTGGTGTTCCGTTTGCACTTCTTCCGAATGCGGTAGTGGCGACTGGGAGCTTGGACGGAGTAGCAGCAGAAGTAGAGGAACCCAACTTTGTCGCTTCACTGTTGAAAATCAAGTCGGGGTAGCGCTCACCCGCCTCGATAGACTTATCCCACATGACCCACCAGGCAGCAAGGAGACCCTCGTGAGTAAGAGTGACGTAGGCAGGTAAGGGCCAAGGAGCCTCGTTGATTTCCTCCAAAGCGGCAATTGGGCGCAGAATCTTCTCCTTGCTCGACAGATCAAGCGCCTCACCTATGAGTACACTGTCCATGTCCTTACCATATACGGTTCGTGGCACAGCCGCCTTCTTTGCGTCGTCGATGCTAATCCACATGGGTTCGTTGCAAACTTCCTGGTTGGGAGAGATTTTGTTGCTCGTCGAGGCGAGTATGCCAATCGTATCTGCGTGTGAGGTTGTAATGATGAGCATGTCGTTAAGATCGGGCTTCCAGTTTCGCAGTCGAGTAAAGGACATGCGCGCAGGGAGTGGCCGACGTGGCGCTTCGGCAGCCTCAAAGAAGGGATCCCAAGGAAATGCATTATATGTAAAGGATCCCCAGCCCTTGGCCGATGTGATGACACTGATCTTTTTTGGCTCTGGGTTCTCTTCGTCCTCTTGTTTGATGAGCGAGTATACAACGACAAACTCCTCTGTTTTCAACCATGTCACGCCAGATACCTCGTAGGTCTCATCCACGTCTGGAGCGCGTGGAATGGTTCCCTTGAGGTCTCCATTGGCCATGTGTATGTCGCAGCTACCGTCGGTGGAACCAGAAACCAAAGCCTTGCCTCGTGCGCTCCAGGCGGCGCAGGTGACGCCGGATTCACGAAGAGTCATCCTGTTGCCGCTTGCCACGTCGAACGTCATGAGTTTCCCAGCGTCGGTGACCGTTGCGAAGTACTGTTCGGTTTCGGGGACGGGGTTCGGTAGAAGGGCGCGTACTGTAGAATCGGTGTCGATGTCTATCGACGCATCTTTTTTCCCGGCGCCGACAACGGCCGCAACGTCGTATATGTGCAGTGTGGGCCTCTCTTCAGCGGCGACGGCAAGAAAGTCTCCATTGGCAGAAAAGACGACATGGCGGAGGTTGGGGGTGGAGATGGTCACGTCGGGGGTGAAGTCTGCGACAACGTCAATGTCGCGCTCGTCCAGGCGAGGATCATCGGCATTCTCGATCTCGTCGGCTGTTGTCTTGTTCTGGAAGGCGTTGCGCACGGCGTCGGTAGATGCGATGACGAGGATGTTGGGGCCAGCAGCAGCGAGCAGGCCGGGCTTGGATGCGACGGAGAGCAGGTTCGCAGAGGCAGGAGGCAGAGCATCGACAGGCCATGGGCGGGGCAGTATCTTGACCTTTTTGGGGCCTTGTTTTCCCTGCTTGAGCACTTTGAAGCCGAGTTGCTGCAGTATACGTCAGTTCTGGTCGCGACAGCTATGCTTGCTATACTTCATCATACCTCTGTATCCACCTCGGGCACCTCAGGCCCAGCCTCAACCTGCGGGCCGTGTGACTTTGACATTCTGCAAGATTTGCAGGCCGAACAAGTTCTGGCGCGTAGGAGACTCGGCTTGGTGTCGCGCGTCGGAGTTCTCAACTTATTCATATATGCATCGGAGGGCAGGCGCGTTTGCGCGTAGACGGATTGGGTATCGGCGGTAGCCTTGGCTTCAAGTGGATCTAAGCTTGGATTGCAACACAAAAACAATTATCGCTACCAGAAAGCTTTGCTGCGCGTAAACGGATTGGGTGGTTGGGAGGAATGCACAGTCCGCGCAAACTTAGGCGCAGAGGGTCAACCTTGAAAGGACCACGAAGGGCAAGCTACCTGGCTAGCGCCTTTTCCTACTATCTAATCGACCCCAGCTCTGTTACCTTACTAGGCGGCTGTCCTCACCACCACTACGACATCGTACCAACAACACAAACATACCCGACACCCTGTATATCCAGACACCATGGGCGGATTCGACTTTTCAAACCATAACCGCAATGCTGCTCTGCACGCCCAGGGTATCCCGCTGCCAAAGGCTACCAGCACCGGAACTACAATTGTGGGCTGTCTGTTTGACGGCGGCGTCGTCATCGCAGCTGATACCCGAGCGACAAGCGGGCCCATAGTGGCAGACAAGGTAAGTAGCTGCCTGTCATGACAGTCATCACCACTGACACACGCAGAACTGCGAGAAACTCCACTACATCGCCCCCCAGATCTGGTGCGCCGGTGCAGGAACCGCGGCGGACACCGAGTTCACCACTGCCATCATCTCCTCAAACCTCGAACTGCACGCCCTCTCGACCGGCCGCAAACCCCGCGTCGTCACCTGCATGACCATGTTGAAGCAGCACCTCTTCCGTCACCAAGGTCACATTGGCGCCTACCTCGTCGTTGCGGGCGTGGACCCCACAGGCGCCCACCTCTTCACCGTGCACGCCCACGGCTCCACGGATAAGCTGCCCTATGTGACCATGGGTTCTGGTTCCCTGGCCGCCATGTCCGTTTTCGAGACACAGTGGAAGGGCGACTTGACACGCGAGGACGCTGTGACGCTGTGTGCCAATGCCATTGAGGCCGGTATCTGGAACGATTTGGGATCTGGAAGCAATGTCGATGTTGCCGTCATCACTGAGGAAAAGACAACGCTGATGCGCAACTACAAGACACCCAACACCAGGCAGCCCAAGCAGAGGAACTACCGCTTCCAGCGGGGTACCACGGCCGTGCTCAACGAGAAGATCATCACAAAGGAGGAGATTAGCAAGTACGTCACCGTCCACGAGCTCAAGGATAGCGATGTTGCGGCCACGGCAGAAACGATGGATGTAGACTCATAGAGCGGAGATGATTATCCCAATGAATAATGGCACATATGAGAGGATCAGCAAGTATGTTGCCGTCCATGCGTCCATGGATAGCCATGTTACAGCTACGGCAGAGACCATGGATGGCGCATACGGCGTTACTAACATGAGAACATGTTACCATGAAGACATGTACTATATAAAAGGAAGAAGGCATTTCAGCCTCTTGATAGCCAGATGCAATACCAATGACTTGGTACATTTGTAGCACTGCACATGCTTTGCATTCCCGTGAATTAACAATCTAACAATAACTAGAGCAGACCTTAGATTTCAGAAAGCCCGTTACATCGGCTTGCAGGTCGCCTGTTCAAAGGCCGTGAGTGAACTTGTTACCGGCGGGTACGACAACCCACCCGTCCCGCTCTCAGTCCTCTTCCTACTTTTTTCATGCTTGATATCAACTCCAAGTCTGGTGGCCAGACTGTACTTCAGCTCAGCACCCGTCTCCCTATCAATCACATTCCCCAATCCCACCATCTGGTTGTTCGCCCATGCACCATACTTATACCGCTCAGTCCACGACTGTTGATGCGTTCCCTAACGACATCTCTTCTCCACAATGCCCGCACCGTGCTCCTCGTACTCCTTTCTCGAGATCCACAGCTGGTGAAAGCTGCCCAGACTAGCCAATATACTACCGCCAATCCATGCCGCGTATTTCCTTTCCACCACGCTACCGGGCGCAATGAGCTTGTTCCTCGTGCTGGGGTAGATGGCATTAATTTCGTAGTTGAGACGCTCGTTGAACTTGTACAGCAGTGTGCTGCCGCCGGTGACGACGATGTTGGAGAGGAGCAGGGGCCGCTGGTCGGCGTCGACTTGTTGGACGGCGGCTTGGACGAGTTTAGGGATGGTTTGTTCGGGCTTTGGTTGCGGGGTGGTTTCTGTGGCGAGGGCGGCGGTGGCATCGAAGAGGCCTTCTGCGGCGCGGAAGCGCTCAATGCCAAAGACTTGGTTCCAGCCGTCGGGCATTTCGAAGGGGCGGCCTGGCATGCTCTTTGCGAGCTCTTCGTTCGCGTTGAAGCGGCCGGGACCGGGCCATACTTCTACGACGGACTCTTTGAATGAGGTCAGGATGCGCTCTTCTTCGTTGAGGCGGAAAGAATCGGTGGGCGGTGTGGGGAAGGTTTTGTAGGTTGCTTGCGCGGGTTGGCCTGCATCGACGGGTATCTTGCTCTTCACCATGTAGTGTGGTGTCAGTGGTACCTCGGGTTGGGCCTGCTTAAACGACGTTCGGATTTGCTCAGAGACAAAGTTTCCAGCTAGAGGAGACTTTTGCACGCCCTTACGCAGTACCATACCATCGAGTACAGGCGTGACGGATGTATGTGAGGCACCAACGTCGATGATGATGCCAGATGCCTTGCCCGAAGCAAAGGCAGCCAACACACCCGTCTTTTGCAAAAAGAAGGCTGGAGTTCCCCAGTCCTCCATTGCAATCTCAATGTACTTTTCCCGTGCTTTTGCACTGTTCCAGCCGGGTTCTGTGACAAGAAGTGGACTGTCTTCTAACGGCTTCTCGTTGTTTTCCAGCGCGTCCATGTCCACGTCCATGGCTTCGCCATTCCCGTTCGCGTCCTTGTCGTCGTTCAGCCCATTCTTAGTAGGGTCGGTCGGTTTTGCGCCCGTGAGTCGGCTCGTTATCGCATACTCCCACAGCTTGGTCGCGGTATCCCAGTCTTCGACTATCCCGTCCGAGCCCCAGTAATTCTTGATCTCCAGACCGCCAGCTGGGGCGTGTATCGAGTTTTCGCCAAAGAGATATTCGCCTGACGATGTCTGGCCGTAAAAGGATGGGCACACGGATTTGGGTACATCTTCACCGGCGAAGCCAGCGCGTACCGTCGAGTAACCGGGGTCAAGAACAATCGCCGAGACCTCATCTATCAATTTCTATCAGCAGGCGCTCAATGTGAAGCTTCGGGGAGCTCAAGTACCTCCGGCGTACTCTCCCGCGGCGGGCGCCGTCGACGAGTTGGGAATGTTCATCACGCGTTGATCTTGATCGCGACTGTCTAAAATATAAAATTTTTGTTATGCGCGTGGCAATAAGATTCTGAACCTCGGTGATTGCTATTGTTGCTGTTGTCGCGGCGCTGGTGGTAAAGCGAAGCTGCGGCAAGACGCGAACTCCAAAAGTTGGGGTTGCGCAACCTCAACCAAAGTCCATCACTGCACTTGCCCCTCGCGTCTCGCCCCGCATACCCCGGTCACAACATCTGCTAGGTAAATTGACGTCTGAAACATGAAGAGATAGTATAGGAGACATCATGGCACTGAAATTGTTACGTCAACTATATTCCCTCGACACTCTTGACACGCGCTTCGTTGTGCCAGCGACCGCACCTCCGAAGGAGGCGCTTGAGGAAGCCAAACTCGATCCTGCAGGGCCTGTACCGGTTCAGACGGGAAATGGAAAGAGTAGGAACACGGGAGATAATGTACAACCGCCACTATGGAATACTCCAGAGTATTACTTCTACTACGTGTCCATTGCGCTGAGTGTCTTCTTCATGTTCAAATTGGTACTTGATGTATCCAAAGGTATGTATGGATAACATCAATGCAAGTTCATACTAAGTGTTTGATAGCATCCCACCCAAACTATCCAAAGTTCGAACATTTGCTATCCGACGGTTGGGTACCTGGCCGGAAAGTGGTATGTTGCTGTACTGCGCATGACTTGCAACTAGCTGACTCTCCAGGACAACACCGATGCTCAATACAGCGGCTTCCGCCAAAACATTCCCTATCTCTTCATTGTTGTACTACTTCATCCTGTCATACGTAAAGGTTATGACATGTTCTGGAGAGCGGACACGTATACTCAAGTTCGAGCTCCAGCAGGAAATGGAGGCCTTACCATGGGTCTGACGCCCTCCGCAGCTGCCGATGCTCGTATGAACCAGCGCATCTCATTCGATCTTGGCTTCTCTGCTATCTTCCTGGCTGCCTTACATGGCTTTTCCGCGTTCAAGATTCTAGTAATCTTGTACTCCAACTACTGCATTGGAACCAAACTTCCGCGGCCCTATGTCCCAGCGGCAACATGGATCTTCAACGTTGGCACACTCTTCGCCAACGAATTTGCGCAAGGATACTCATATGCTGCAATACTCGGTGCCTTCCTCCCTTCAACCGTCTCGGAAAAGGGCACGGCAACAAGCTCGACCATCGGCCACACGCTCGACAACTATGGTGGCCTGATTCCCCGCTGGGAAGTTCTCTTCAACTTCACCATCCTCCGTCTCATCAGCTTTAACCTCGACTATTACTGGTCACTGAACTCGCGATCCAGTAGTAGTCCCCTAGAAGTAGCCACTCCCCCATCCTCTCCGCAATCAAGATGACTAATGACCATGCTCAAGAAGAAACAACTCGACCCCTCCAACCTCTCAGAACGCGACCGTGTGACCATCCCAGCCAAACCAACAGACTACACCTTCCGCAACTACTTTGCCTACGCCACCTACTCCCCCCTGTACCTTGCTGGTCCCATCATAACCTTCAACGACTACATATCACAATGCCGGTACCGCCCTTATAGCATCACCACCAAGCGCACAACCCTCTACCTCATCCGCTTCATCGTCGTGCTGCTCACCATGGAAATCATGATCCACTACATGTATATGGTAGCCATTTTCCACGCTAAACCAGACTGGTCTGTGTACACGCCTAGCCAGCTCAGTATGCTGGGTTTCTTCAACTTGAAACACATCTGGCTTAAACTACTCATTCCATGGCGCTTCTTCCGCCTCTGGTCGCTGCTCGATGGTATTGATCCGCCGGAGAATATGGTCAGGTGCATGAGCGATAATTATAGCGTTATGCACTTTTGGCGCGGTTGGCACCGCAGCTTCAACAAGTGGAGTTTGAGATACCTCTACATTCCCCTCGGAGGCAGTAAAGGCGAGGGGCTGACTGGTAAGGCCCGCGCTGTGGGGAATTATCTCGCTGTTTTTACCTTTATCGCTATCTGGCACGATATCCAACTTAGACTGCTCATGTGGGGGTGGTTGGTCACGCTGTTTGTTCTACCAGAAATCATTGCTTCCTACATCTTTCCAGCGAAAAAGTGGAAGGATAGTCCTGATGCGTATCGCTGGCTCTGTGGCGTCGGGGCTGTCGGCGAGATTCTCATGCTGATGACGGCGAATCTCGTTGGCTTTGCGCTGGGCGTGGATGGCCTCAAGGATCTGGTAAAGGGTATTGTGGGATCTTGGTCCGGGTGGATGTTTCTGGGTACCGCGTGTGGCGCGTTATTTACAGGTGTGCAGTTCATGTTTGAGTGGCGCGAGAGCGAGAAGAGGAGGGGGATTAAGATGAAGTGTTGATCTGGGTATGGATTTTCCAACCGTTTCGGTAATGGTTATTGTAGTCGTTTTGTACTTTATCATATTGGCTGCATTTCGTGTAGCTATCGGACCAAGAACCGTTGTGCCTAAAAAATCACGTGAAATATTCGTACGACTACAGACGTGCTAGGCTTGAGTAGTAAGAAGGACAGTTAGAGCCTGCATAGTCTGTGTTGTTAGGTGCGTGAGGTGCAAATGATAAAAAAGAACAGCAAAAAGAAACAAGTGGCAAAAACAGAGTTTCGAACCCCTGATGGGGCGAGTTGTTTCCAAAGATTGAGTAAGTGCAGTGTTGTGCGGGACTCGCGGTCACTTCTGGTAAAAGGCAAGAAATGAGTTCGTACAAATCCTCGCACTGCACATTGGAAGTCTTTGTTTAAACTGTATATATACTACGTTACAAAAGTCGCACAGTTGAGGTGGCGCGCAAAAAGGGCGGTGGAGCTACGGCTCGTGCACAGAGAAGCGAGGGCCTGTGCGTGGGAGGACTTCGATTGCATTGGCCGGGGCTTGGGATGGAAAATTGGGGATGTGGGCTCCGTGCGATGGGACGGACCTTGGGATAGACGCAACGAGATTTCGCTACGGTAGAATGCGAACACAGGGATTGTATTGTCCATGCAAGCGATGCTATTTAACTCATATATGGTTGGTATGCAAAATGTGCTAGAAAGATTGCAAGCAGCCATCGTACCGGCCAACTCATTTTCCATGAAGCACTTCTAACCACAGTCCGCAACAATCAATTAAGTGGGTCCTAGAAGGTTCAGATTGGATTGATTGATTACCGCTTTAAGCCTAGTAGTTACCTATAGGAGTTTAAGCCCTACCTAGATAGGTAAGTGGGTCTAGGAGAGTGACCGGATTGAATTGATTGTTGCGGAGTCTACTTCTAACAGCACATGCATTTCTGATCATGTCAAGGAGGCACTAGTCTTCTCTATTCAATAAGTACTCATACCTCTAAGTTCTCAAATCTTGATTGGAGTGTTTTGTTTCATTTAGCACTTTCGTTGTTATTGCTATGTAGTCAAGTCATTGTCTTCTTGTAAGTTGTTGCTACCTAGACCTGTTTGGCTTAAGGCACAACCGTCCACACCTCCTCTCAGTACCGAATTTTTATTCAGACTTAACTGTTTCTTGTACGGATTGTGATTTTTCAAAGACGGATACTCCTATTCAGTATAATGGAATACCAATCCTTACTCTAACAAAACCTCAATTCGTCTCAAGTATTGACCAAATTGGCCAACTCGCCTATTCTTCCTTTCTACTATATCATACTTCCTTATATCACTAACTAAGACAAATCCTCTCTATTACATATCTGTCTCCCTGCACTCCCTACTCATCGCAAATTCGCCCTCCGTACTTGTCTCTTCTTCTCCACATTATCCCCCTCGCCCTTAAATCCACACATAGACTCCGCAACAATCAATTCAATCCGGTCACTCTCCTAGACCCACTTACCTATCTAGGTAGGGCTTAAACTCCTATAGGTAACTACTAGGCTTAAAGCGGTAATCAATCAATCCAATCTGAACCTTCTAGGACCCACTTAATTGATTGTTGCGGACTGTGTCCACACACACCATGCCTACCATCTCATTATCTTTTACCTAACCATTTAGCACTCTACTACCAGACATAATTTGATACAACTAGATGTGAGTCTGACAGTAAGGGGGAAAGTAGCCTACCGTCTAACTAAAGACGAGAGATAGAATATGGAGACGGGGCCTTACGAACTTGTATTTAGGTGTATAGGTAGCGATGCCAGCAGTGAATGTTTGGACTAGTGATTCCAGAGCGGAGAGAATTGTTTTCTATACTCCGAATCTTTCAGATGGATCAGCTAGGTTTCATGGTGGGTGACATGAGAGGGGTAGAGGATGAGAGGCTTGGTGGTGTTTCGACGTGGATGCGGTGCTTGTGTGGCGCCTGCTTCCATCAAATTTGGGGGTTTGCGTATTAGAGAGGAATAATTCAAGTGAGACTGTTGAGAATTCAGGTAGATAGATAGTGATAGTGGCGTCTAAGGCTTCACTGACGAAGCAAAGTTATGCAAAAGAAAAGAGTTTAGTGCAGTGTAGCTTGGTACGGGAGACCAGACAGCAAAAACTCTATTTTCATTCACCTAGTGGCAAAGTATCTGCAATGGCGTTTTCGTCATCCTGCTTTTATGGAGTATGCAGTGTCTACGTCTTCCTGACATTAACATATCTATGAGGGTTTTAGGGGGGTAAGCAGCCAAGAACGCCACTCACACTCAGGAAGCAAGCTCTTCTTCTTGCCTAGCTGAGGCGTTGATGGCTGATCTGATGAATAAAAAACTTCGTTCATGATGATATTGCTGATAGCTACCTGACATGGGCTGAAATAAGAAGCACCATCATTCTTGCCACTGAGGCAAACTGCGATCTACGATGCTTTACCTTAGTGTCGTCGTTCAGCGACGGTCTAATGTAACGACGATTATGTACGTCGTTCAATATGGACAGCTAAAGTTTGGTGGCTTGTTGTTGTGCGTCCATACAGTTTCTGTCAGACCACATGGCTGTGGAAATGAGCTTTCCATACCTACACTTCAAGTCTGTAGGCAGGATGATATATGTGAGAATCTCTGATCTAGAAGTAAATATTCAGGCCCGACATAGGAAATGTATGTTGAATGTATCGTAATGGCCACGTATAGTCTATGGCGCGTTTCCATGATTTGGTGGGTCACTGTCAACATGGCCAATGGAAAGGCTACGATCGTCTATTAACTACGGATTTGCTCGATCTACAGACCTACCATCTGCTGCTATTTCAGAGTACTCTATTCTTGCAGTATCGAGCACGGGATACTCCGCTGCTGACACAACTTTGTGGATTAAATAGCACAATGGTTGACCTTGTACTGGTGTCGGCCCAATACCAGGAAAAGTTTTCAAGTGTATGCTGACGGAAGTACAACCATCCTTTCGATTGGCAATCATGGGTAGCGGTCAACAAACTCTTCAAGCCCTTTCACTCAACAGGGCCGCCCTCTTCCAGGTGACGTGTCGTCGTTTACGAGATACCACCGCAAAAGTGAAGCTATGGCGTAAATTCATATCGACTCCAATATACCCAAACCCAACACTCCCCACAGCTCTTTTCTTTAGTGCCCCATGATCATCACCCCACGACATACCTACCCTAGCCAATATTACCACCACGCGACTCCACACATGTCTTACATTTGTTTCCAAAAAGGGCACGATCGTCCGTTTTTTACGAGGACCGCAGTTGGCGGTCAACAAGACTGCTCAGGCCGCATTAGCAGCTCATGGAACGATGGCTGGCCTCGATGACATTTCGCAGGGTCAAGGCTGGTCGTCGTCTGTCTTGGTGCATGGGTCTTTGTTAAAGGTCAATGCGGGTCTGTCACAGATGCTGCACACCGACACATGTGAAGGCGGTCGAGGAAGGCATACGGGCATAGCGCTGCTGCAAGACACACACACAGACGGACCGCTACCAAAGCACCGAAGTACACGGCGTCTTCAACCTGAAGCATCGCGCAGTTTAGGTGGCACGGATCTGTCGTTGGTTGTTCGACGAGACATGTCGTGTTCGCCCTTGCGAGTCAAGTCGCTGTCGGCAGGCTAGCGCCTCCTTCCAGAACAACGACCATCTGACTGGGCGACACTGACGGCCTATTCTTAGGGCTTGGACCGGCAGATGGCACTGCGTTTCAGATGGTTCTTCCTCGTGGCCATGTGGCTTGATCGGGGCCTCGAACCTTGGGCCTGTCGTGTTTACCGACGCCCGGATGCTGGGATGGCGAAGCTTAGGCCTAGGCGCGGTTCTGCATCTTATCATGCGCATATTTGTTCCAGTCTCGCTTCTCCTGCCGACTCCACCTACCCTACTCTAACCTCACTCATTCTTAACATTACCTCTTTCGTGCCACATGAGGATGCTGCCGCCGTTATTGCGACAATGAAGATTCTGGTGCTGACACGACTAAACGAGACCGTGCGCTGAGCGCTTCCGCAGGGCAAGGCGGAGTTTAGCCTGGATTGGCCGATCACTGGACCGCGAAATGGCCCTGGATAAACTTCAACGAGGCCATGAGCGGATAAGGAGCCGGCCTGCGACTGCGACGGGGGACAAGGCCATTGCGAAGAAGAGATCGAGCTTGGGGCGGGCGGCTGGGGGGTTCCAGAGCAGGCTGCTCGCATCGCTTAGGAGCAGAAGGAAGAGTGGTACAGGCGAGGAGCTGGCGCCGAGCCCAACGAGGTACGTACCGTAGCCTCTCCGTTGACGACGTCCGAATGGTGCGCTGATGATTGCGCCACAGTCCTTTTCTGGAGGCCTTGTTCAGACTACCAGATGAGCTTCACATATACATGCTGCGCGAGCTATGTGTTGCCGACTTGCTTGCTTTGAGGAGAACATGCCGTGTGCTCAACATGCTCGTCACGGAGAATGCGCCTGCGCTTGTGCGCTACTGTATCAAACAGCGGATGGGTAATCTACATTTGCAGTTGTATCCAGCCCCCAGCCCTAATGCAATGGACTTTCCGTTTCTACTCACCATGAGACGGCGACACATTGCCTCAATCAGGTTGACCCGGCAGCTTGCCGATCACCTTGTGGGCGACCCCGTGGAACAAGTGTGCCCACGCCAAAAGCAGCTATGGTCATCCGTGTACGAAAGGATGCTTCCCCTGGTCTTTGGGGTGGGATACTTCCTAGATGAACATCGGCGGCTCCTCTTGGAGAGGGATCTCGGGCACATCCGACCGCGCTCGCGTATTGGCTATCACGTCCGTACGACGAGTGGAATCACAGCCCAGGAACGGAACATCATGAAGAACCTTGATGCACCACTCCGCCTACAGTACTTTTACATGTACTGCTTCATCGTGCAGGTACTACTGTGGAAGCTGCGGCCATGCAGTAGCGCTGGAGCGGTGGAAAAGTTCCTACGTGGCTGGTCCAACCAGCCTGCCTGTGCGGAGGACATGTCCTTCTTTTTGATACTAGGTGGCATTGGACGAGTTGCCAAGCTCTTTGCCTGTTCGACATACGGCGAGCGGAGAAAATATCTTTTGACGTACAGAACGCACATGTCACCGCACACGAGCAAATGCTGGAGACGACACTGGAAGGACGCTGGCGTGGTTTCGCCTGCACTGCTGGACGATATCCCTTGTACGCAGATTGGTATCACGCAGCTCGACCAAATCTGGGCTCCGCTGATAGCTCAGATGATGGGGCCAGGCAAGAGAGATTTTACTGAGCAGGAAAAGATACGGTACGAAGAGTTGAACATGTCCAAGAAGTTTATCAACGAAGTGATGGGGTATGATGTTCTGCAAGGCCGGGCAGCGCACGGGGGCAGGTCTGACGACGAACATGAGTTGTAAGAAATGGGTTAGCAGCACTGTGCCAACATAGACAGCTGATAGCGTAGAAATTTTGTACCTTCTACTAGAGGACTTGAATACATGTCGGCTGCCGTGCAATTTCCGTTTTTCATCGACTATTGAGGCCTGTACTGCCGGCTTGGCTTAGTTTCTGCTTCACGATGCAACCAGCCCACATGTATTACGTACTGCTCCGGTGTCGTAGCGCGCTATATGTGTCTAGTGATGATGAAGGCCCACGGCAGCTACTGACCCTGCATGTGTCAACAGAGCCGAGTTGCATGCGGCCATTATTTTGCCCGTGTTAGTTGTGTCTAGTAAAATGCTTGACACGGCAATATATTGTGCTTGGCTTTAGTAGGTAGGTGGTAAGAAAATGCTACTGTGTTCTAGACTGGCCAACCCAAACTTGAGGATGGCGAGATTCTCCCATATTGTGGACGGCAGAGGCGATTGCCACGGCACGGTGTCGTCATTTGCACATGTGTATATTGCAGTACCCAGTTGTTTGATTCAAGCAATTTTTCCAGCCGTCGGCTAGGGCAGCAAATGCCGACAGGACACGGGCAGCGTCAGCGTTGGAAAAAAAAAAGGCCAGACCCTGGAGTGGTTGGCGTGATGGCCGAGTTCGCAAGCTTGTCGATTTTGTCGGGATCCACTTGGGGTTTCCATGGGTGCTCGTGCACATGTTCTGGAAACGAGCCAGTGTAAGAAGTGGGCCTCTCTGGGGCTTGGAGATGTCGGCGGATTTGACGCAAAGTGACGCTCGGGTGAGCCAATGAGTGCGTGTTTGACGGTTTTGGCTGCAGGTCAATAGCGAGGGCGGCATTACTCACAAGGTGGTGGTGGGGTACAGCCGGTGGTGAGGGTTGAGTGTTGAGGGTTGAGTGTTGAGTGTTGAGTGTTGATGTGCTTGTCGACAGCATGACACAGGCAGTTGTTTTGGTTTCAAGGGCGTGTGGACAAAGCAAAGCGAATTAGGCAAGACGGGTGCATGTAGCAGAGTATGACGTGCACGGCAGCGGTCCGGGAGTGGCATCAGGACAGTGGCAGGCTCGCTTGATTGGGAAGGGAGTCGGTTTGCGGTGCTGCAGGCGCGACCGTGCTGGAGCGACGACGGACGTTTAATGGTGCAGGCGCGACCGGACGTCGATGGATCGAGACAGGGCTGCGTCATTGGCTGCACGGCTTGTTGGCGATGCAGACGATGCAGACTCGCAGTCGTGTGCCACACCAAACGTCGTCGGATAGTCGTCCCAAACGCCTTGATATGCGGTGCGGCCCTGTCAAGACGTACCTGGGTAGTACACTTGTTGCTACGTCTGCATCGCCTGCATCATTTCCACATGCTGGACAGGACGGAAGACGACCAGACAACGACAAGGCATGCTGCCAGACGGAGCTGCAGCCAATAGCAAAGGGGTTGATACTGACCGCAACACCAGCCCGCATCGACCCCGGCATCAGGCCCACAGTAGTGTCGGCTCTTCCAAACATGCTCCGCGCCCCCGTAATTGCTCCCAGCACCAGTGCCAGGCCTCAGGCCCATCGTGGGAGCTAAATCCCGCTGTTCCCTCGGCGCCATGCGTGTGGCCATGGGCGATATATGCTCGCTGTCCTGGAAAGCCTGTCCAGTGCCCGCCCTGTCCCTAGCGTCGTGTTGTAAGCCCGTTCCATATAATCCTCTGGGCCCGGCCCAACGTTGCGACTGCGACTGCGACCGACTCCAGTTTCCCCCCATCCGAGTGCCACACCTGTCCCGATCCCTTCCTCCACGCGACCTCGCCACCCCCATCAGCCTTCTGAGACAGACGACGACTCCCTTCACCACTCACAGCCACCCGACCACCACACCAAACCCCCCCCCGCGACGACGGCGAGGCCGGCAACTACTCCCCAAACGGCCCTCCCATTGTCAGCTGAGCGACGAATACCCACCCACCCCTAGACCCAACCCAACACCATGCGCCCGTAGAGATAGACAGCTGGAAACATGGACTTTACCGTACGTACCCGCGCGCCTAAACACATGGTGTCCTCGTGCCTTTGTCTCGGATCCCCCTACCTCTCCCAAGAGCCCAGCTAACGCGCCACGCCTCAGATCTCACTCGCACACTTCTGCGAGGTTCACGGTCCGACGTCCATCATCTGCACCCAGGCCTCGACTTCTCCCTGTGGCTCCTGCAACCCATGCGACACCCCGCCATCCGAAGAGCCGCATTCGGCCTATTCCTACAATGGCCTCTACGACCAGCCCGCATCTCTCAAGCTGAATGCGCGCCTGCCTCAACTTACCTCTCCCTTTGAGTCGCCACCCACAAGCCCGCGCTCCCCTACACACAACCCGTACTTCCCCAGCTTTCCCTCGTCTTCCAGCAGCAGTTTCGGTGGACGGAGAACCAGCAGCACACTCGATGCCGATTCGGACGCGTGCGAAAACTGTCAGATGGTGGTTCCGCAAAAGTACAGCGACAAGATCCCGAATGGCGCCCCTGGTAGCCCCACCAAGGACGGTCGTGGAAGGAACGGCAGCCCTGTCCTACGCAGTTCGCAAAACTACCCAGTGCGCCGGCCAGTGTCTCGTGACGATTTCAGTAGCACCGACTCGTCCGATGTCTCAGATACGGAGCAATCCACCTCTTTCCAGAGCGCCACTTCGAGCTCGTATCCCGACTCCATACCCGCCTCACCCCTGCTTGCCTCAAGAGGCGTACACACCCACACACTCAACTACATCTCCACCAGCCAGCCACAGTCCCCCAGCACATACTCCCTCTTGCGACGCACCTGCATCCGTACATTGTCGACCGAGGTTCTTCCGTCCAGCAAACCTTCCGGAGCCATGATGTTTGGTGATTCAGTCGCCGGATACACCATCGCCTACGTCTTTCGTCTGCAGGACCCGCGTTCTCGAGGAGCTAAGCGCACCTATGCGCTCATTGCAATGGCCGGTCGCGACTGCCGGAGAGCCACCAAAGCCATGGTCAAGATTACCGAAGCATTCCAGGGCATCGCGAACCGGATCATCTCGCTGGCTGAAAAGGTGCTCGAGCGTGAGAGCGCAGCCTCGCAGAATGTTTCGCGTCCAATCACAGCCATCTCCGGTGGTACCCCTCCGTTTGGGACTTCTGCTTCTTCCATGCCGCCGCAGTTCCTATCGCCGCAAAAGGAACGGACCTTGTCGACTACCAGCACACCAAACTTCCGCAACATCACCCCTGTTTCATCCTTCCTTTCCGCCAAAAAGCTCGATCCAGATGGTTTCCCCCGTGTGTCCCGCGACGTAATGAAGGCGAAGAGTCTCATTGAGATTGTTGGCCAGGAAAACTTCTTTGTCGACTTACACTCCATCTTTTGCTGCCTCCTGCATTCGCTCATCAAGCAGTA